TAATATATTATAATGCACGTATCGAGCAGACTTCGGCAAGCGTTTGTTACATTGCAAGTTAGAGACTTTGGAGGCTCGGAGGCAAGTCTTCGACCTAACTTTTCTCCATAAGGTTTTGTATAGCCAGCTCGACATGTCCCGAATAATGTCTCAGATTAACTTAGCGATATACAGTAGACTTAATCCAGGATGAAAGATATTTTGGAGTCGTGTATCTGGTACTATTGTGGGGCATTTTTCTCCAATTTACCGTATCATGAGAACTTTCGATAATGTTAACTCAGACGAAATAGACATCTTTCACGACTCATGTTATAAGTAAGTTCAAAAGGAATGTGACAACTGCTCTAAAAGTTGAGTCTTGGGGACTTTCTTCGATAATCTCTTGGATAGGTAGTAGTTTTTTCTTAAGTTTATTAAATGTCACAATGTTTTACTACCTATTCCACTAATTTTTGTTATAATTATTAATACAAAGACCGAACACTTGGAAAAAAATCCTTCGATCCGCTGGATTCGAAGCAGCGTCTTCCAGCAAACCGTGTCAGACGCTGTGCCCAATTACGCCACGTAACGTCCTAGCGGATCTTTCAAATTTTTCTATGTGCTTGTTGCAGATCTTTATTTTTGGTTTTTAACGACTTATTTGCCGTAGAGTTTTTTCTCTCTATACATTATTTTTATTTTGTTTTTAAATTAAAATTTTTGATGTTATCTTACGCAATTTTCATATACGCCTATAATGGTATAATATACTTTATCACAATTTATATATGACAAAACAATGTTAGTTTCTTTTTATATGTGCCGATGGTGTACTTAAATAAATAAATAAAACCAGGAAGTTATAATTTCTACGTTTTTTCCAGTTATTGGCACTAATCTGCACATGCGGGCTGTTCATAAAAATAGAATAAGTGGCTGTCTGTGCGACCATACTGACTCGCCTACAAGGCGCACGTGCCGCTCTCCTCAGCTAAGGATTCATGTCGTAATGTGCATTCTAATTTATTTTTTGCTATTCGAATAAAGTTTTTGTCGGTGTAATGGTTTGTTTTTTTAACAGTCCTCTCATTCTGTACCTATAAATCCTGGATCAATCAGTCGCAAACTAAGCGGCGCAAAGTTACTTAAGAAAGATAATTTTGTATTTTATTTATTAACAATAAACAAAATAAATGAAAAAAAACATCACGCAAAGAATTTGCAGATAACATACAAAACAAACATAAATAATAACATGGAATAATTTTTCCTTTGACAAACACGACATACCATTATTTCACTGATACTCTTTGTTGTATTTTATCTGAAGGGAATCTGATGCTATTGCGAATACCTTCATGCATGATACCAGATTTGGAGATCCAGCCGCAGTAGCGGATTTGACAGTTGAAAGCAGTGGTGCCTAGAGGAAGTCCGATGGCGCTGATGCGTTCCAGGGTAATGAAAGGCCCTGCTATTATCTACAACAAACAAAGATATTTACAAATTTGTAAGTTATTTATAATAAAGCTTTCTCGTTGACTAGTAATATTTCAGTATTTAATACGATATTGCAGATGTTCATGAATGACAGTGACTAAGGTAAGTACTTATTTACCACCATGTAGTTCATCTGTCACACACAATTTATTTGGTATAGTCACGTTCATTGACATATCATAGTTTAAAGACATCGAGTATATAACCAGAAATAGAGACGAAATAAGGGCCATCCATCCCTGGCAACTCATTAGGCAAATTGGCCTTATATCACTTTTAGTTATCAACTCTCGTTTGCGCTGAAATCACAAATTAGAAAACTGAAATAGTACAGCGCCAATAACTGACCCGTGTGTACGACTCCGTATATTCCAAAAATATTCTGTATTTATTGTAATAAATATAATATCTCTAACAATGGGGGCTGTTCCGTTCGGTGGTGTGGGAAAAACAGCAAAACATGTAATTAGAGAATAACGGAATCACATTTCATCGGTAATGAAATATTAAATATGTAATTTTCGTCCATTATAGCAAAGCTCAAGTTAAACTGGTCGATTTGAAGTGAAACAATTGACGACACCCGTCAATTGTTTCGAATTCGGGCTGGCCAATCGGAGCGCAGTTGTCACAGTAATGAATTGGCAGAATAGTTTTCAAACAAATTAAATGTCAATTCTATTTCTGGTTATATATATGTATATACTCGATGTTTAAAGAAGATAGCAACATTCGGATAGTAGCAGTAGAGCTCCTTGTCAAAGAGTTCGTCCAGGGATGTACCGGCACTTTGCCTATTTCTATCACGAAGCAATAGTGTGAGCATTACTGCGTTCTTGAAGGGTAAGGGTGCTGGTGAAATTACAGGAACATGGGAATTGTCAACTTATGTCTCACGGTCACGGGCGCAGTGGCTGTGCCCCTCAGATCTTTGCGATTTAAAGCTCTTAGTGGCACTGTAACTGTCATGGATAGGCATGTGGCTTACCACGAGGTGCACGACTTGTTTGCCCCGTCCCTTGATGTCATAAAAAAAGATAAGTTTATTAGAGAAATGTATTATTGTTATTTTTATTCAACATTTTTGTTCTGTTAATTACCGATGACTAGGCCCATCTGACTTCTGTGTCAACGGGAGGATTTTGTACGTTTGATATTTTGCTAAAAGTTAAGTGTAGTAGCTTGTTAGTGGCAAGCTATCGAGCTCCAATTCAACTGCCATTGCAATTATTTGGTATTATGCTATTCAACGTCAGCTAGTCGATGACGTAGTCTAGGTACTAATTACGTTTCTTTCGAGGGCTTCTTGCCATTGATTTATTATTGAACAAACACATATTTTATTGCTGATTAGACCACTTAAATATCATGCATAGTAATTTCCATGGTAGTTTTATTAAACTTCGATCAGTTCGATCAATTTAATGAACGAATGCCATCAATGCCATTCTGCTGACACGCTAATGAGACTCAATTGCAATTGCAACTAAATTTTAGCAGAATAACAACAACTTTAGTAGCAGTTGAGCTTCTTCTATTTCTGCCGCCAAGCAGTAATGTGAGAATTACTGCGTTTCGGTTTGGAAGGGTAAGGGCTTATTTCTAATGCAGGCGCGGCGGCGGGTGCTGGCGTGCGGGTCTTGACGTCTTCCCTTTCACAGTGCCGCAGCGACTACGAGCGGGTAGATCCACACGTCGACATCGCAAACAAACGCTAGACGCTAGACCAAGTACTGTGAAAGGTACGGGCGGACGTAAAATAGATTTACCCGCGCCCTCGCCCGCCTAGAAACAGCGCCGGCACGCGGGGCCACTGTAAACGCAAGGGGTATCTACGTATATTTGATTTAGACGCACCCGCGCACGCTTCCGCGCCCGCTGCAATTCTGAATAAGGCCTTAAGGGTGCTGGTGAAATTATAGGCACATGGGACTTGTCAACTTATGTCTCAGGGTGACACTGCTTATGTTATGGATAGGCGTGTCGCTCACTGCCAGGCGCAAGATTTGTTCGTCCGTCACTAGTTATTATAAAAAAAATATAATACCAAGTGACGGGACGAACTATCATAATAGCAACATGATCTCAGTGGACTTTCAATGGAATTACAACGACGAGTGGTTTCGAGAAAATTACCAGACTTACAAGTCTGGTAATTTCTCGAAACCACCAGGTATATTTTATGGGTAGATACTTACTCGTCCAAAAACCACATGTTTTCCGTCAAACTGAGGCAGAGGCTTGAAAATGATGTTAAACTGACCACACACTTCATTGCTTGACGTCACAACCATTGAAACAGTTCCTAAAAAATAAATATAAATATAAATATAAAAATATAAAAATAAAGAGACAAAAAGCCTATAACATGTGGCATGAATACAAACGCGACTATAACCCGGAAAACATTAAAAAGTTTTGTAACTCCATAGGCTCTCTTTCGTTTTTTGAAGTTCTAGATTCAGATATTATGGAGACTGCGTTTGATGGTTTCTACGATTTATTTTCTTTATTGTATAATTTATGCTTTCCAATTATATTAGTTAAAGTAACTAACCATCTCACAAAGTTGCGATGGCTCACTAAAGGTTTAAAGAAGTCATGTAAAGCCAAAAGAATATTACAAATGAAATATATAAATGAAAAAGTAAATAAATTACACAATAAACTACATTATAAAAGTTACAATACACTGCTTAAAAAATGCATATTGAAGTCCAAACGAATCAGTAATACTAAATACATAAAAAGCAACACCAACAAATGTAGAGCGACATGGAACACCATATCACAGACTCTCTCGAATGATTCTCATAAGGATGACATTAATTCGCTACAATTCAATAACCGTATATATCATAATCCTGTTGACATTTGTAATATTTTGAATACTAATTTTTTAAATTTAAATAATAATTCTAATTTGACTCAAATTTGCATGACATCGAACATACAATCTATATTTAATTCGATATTTTTGACCCCAGTGACTGAAAAAGAAATTTACAATATAATAATATCATTAAAAAATAGTAAATCTTGTGGTTATGATGGAATAAATACAAAAATTATAAAACTTTGTGCTCCACACATTTGTTGTCCTCTTGCACATGTTATTAATCTTTCATTCGTGGAAGGAACGTTTCCCAAACAATTGAAACAGTGTATCGTTAAACCATTATATAAGAAAGGTGACGCTTCGGATCCTAACAATTACAGACCTATCACTCTCATACCTATTATATCGAAAATATTTGAGAAAGCTTTCTTAATAAGACTTAACAGCTTTATAGAAAAGAATAACATTCTCCATCCCTCTCAGTATGGATTTCGTAAAGGAAGATCTACAACACTTGCTTGCTATGACTTTCTAACCATTATAACGAAAAGTATCAATGACAAAATTCCGGTAGCATCACTTTTCCTCGATATGAGCAAAGCATTTGACTATATTAATCATTCTAAACTTCTGAAAAAACTAGAAAAGTATGGAATCAGAGGCACAGCATTTGACTGGATAAAGAATTACTTGAAAGATTGGACACAAAGTACGTCAATAAATAAAATTTGTAACAATTACAAGCGTCTTATAAAACAAAAATTTTATTCTGATTATAAAACAAAAAACAGCGGCATTCCACAAGGAAGTATTTTGGCTCCGGTTCTCTTCAGTCTGTATATAAATGATCTTCCAAACGCAGTAGATCAGGAAAGCATTCTGTTTGCAGACGACACCACTCTTATATTAAAATGTTATGATAGAGACCACTTTGAAAAAGAAATAAATGACGCACTATATAAAGTTATCAAATGGTTAAATGCAAATGATTTACATATAAATATAAACAAAACAAAATTCATGCAGTTCAGATCGCATAATTCTAATCCATTGCCAATTCAAGTGCAGTATAACAATCAAGTAGTAGATACAGTCGACTGTTTTAGTTTCCTTGGAGTGAAATTTGACATGCATTTAAAGTGGAAACATCACATTGATCACGTGTGCAACAGGCTGAATAGATTTGTCTTTGGCCTACGTAGGCTAAGACAAACCGTGTCTCATGACGCTGCAATGATGGCTTATCACGGTTACGTCTCCTCTGTATTAAGTTATGGGCTTATACTGTGGGGGAACTCTGTAGATGTAGGTAGGGTTTTTATAATACAAAAAAAATGCATTCGCGCAATTTGGGGCGCTAAAGCAGATGACACATGCAAGCCCCTATTTAAAAAACTAAACATCTTACCTCTCCCCTGTATGTATATCAGAGACATCTGTGTGTTTGTTAAGACTAATCCTAAACATTTTAAAATATGTGGCGAAATATTTCAAAGACAAACACGGCCTAAAATTATGAATCAATTATATCAACCTCGTTGCCATAAAATAATTTACACAAATAACTGCTACAACATGTGCATTAAGATTTTTAATAATTTACCAAGTGACATTAAATTACTACACGGACATAATTTTAAACTACAATTGACAAGATGGCTTATGACACATTGCTTCTATAGTAATAAGGAATACTTTGAATTTAGAAATATTTGACATTTTAATTAACTTCAATTACCTGTACCAATAAATTCCAAAATATTTGCACACCTGCTTGCAGGTTGAATACATTGTACCAATTTAATTTAAGACCTGTATATTTACTGTATTTTGGCAAATAAACATTAATCTAATCTAATCTAAAATATAGTTATAGAATTAGACCATTTTGTTAATAAGGTGAATCCGTCGAGTAAATAACCAGAAATACAAACGAAATAAGGGCCATCCATCCCTGGCAATTCGTCAGGCAAATGGGCCTTATATCACTTTAAATATCAACTCTCGTTTGCGCTGAAATCACAAATTAGAAAACTGAAATAGTACAGCGCCAACAACTGGCCTGTGTGTACGTCTCCGTATATTCCAAAAATATTCCGTATTTTCAGTATTTTATTGTAATAAAGTTAATATCTCTGACAATGGGGGGCTGTTCCATTCGTTGGTGTGTGGAAAACAGCAAACATCTAATTACAAAACAAACGGAATCACATGTCATCGGTACTTAATTAAATATTAAATATGTCATTTTTAAATGTTCAGCCATTACAGCAAAGCTCAAGTTAAACTGGTTTTTAAAGTGAAATAATTGACGACATCCGTCAATTGTTTCGAATTCGGGCTGGCCAATCGGAGTGCAGTTGTCACAGTAATGATTTGGCAGAAAAGTTTTCAAACAAATTAAATGACACTTCGTCTCTATTTCTGGTTATATACTCCATGGGTGAAGCCGAATATCCAACCAAATAAGCAGAAACAAATTCCTAAGAATTTTCATCAAGGGCTCTCTATAATAATAATATTCATCTGAAATGTTTTCGAAATGGGGCTAAATGATACAATAATCAATTTCTTACTTGCATAAATATGTACAGGTTTATAGCTTAATCGAGTCGGTTCCTGAGGTAGCTGCGCGGGGCGGGAGGAGTGACAGTGTACGTAACAGCAAGTGAAGGTGTGTTTCATACGGGATTATTTTCTACAAGATTTTTCTGACAATATTCAATAGGAAGTTGATTGAAAAAAGTGCCTATTAAATTAGTCAATTGTTGTTATGTGAAACGATAATACAAAATCTATTTTATAATTGATTATCACTTATAATTGATTTTAATAGACACACCATTTGCCATTTTTTTATATCAACGATACGATATTCAATATCGTCAGAAAAATCTTGTTGATGTGCAATCAACGACGCGCCGTAACTGTTACCTAAACTGTCACTTCTCCCGCACCGCGCAGCTACCTCAGGATCCAACCTGTAGAATGTAAATTATCGAGTATCACGTATGTGTCAACTTGTGCAAATAGGTGAAATTTTACTTTGAACTACAATTGTTTGTTTACAGTTAAAAAGTTAAGTTAATAAGAGCCCATAAAAACAAGAAAGAAAGCAAATTGTCACCCGGGATAGAATGTTTAAGGTTGAAATTTTCTGGGCTCATCGGTTCTCCTCTGTTCTCGGGTAAATAGCATCCGAAGCCGTTATCCAAGGTCACGTCACCGCCTCGACAGTAGAGCTCCGGCACAATCCTGGGGAGGCATCGTTTTCTAATGTCTTATATATAACATAGTACTCACAAAGTCATACGACTGAGGCGTGATACGTAATTTCCAAACAACAAATACTACCAGAGAATAAGAAACGATCATAAATTCGATGGGAAAATGAATACAAATTTCTTCAATCAATTTATGTACCTACGCCCATCGAACGAAGTTGATCTGGTTGTTATAGCAATTAGTTCAGATCCCCTGATCGCTCTCTCCAAGCTCCCTACCTTACTCCACAACCTACCTGTATCATACGATACTAGATTAAAAGCTTTGGAAAGGTCGAGAAAGCAAACGTAAACAGGATATTTTCGAGGTTTAATTCTGGACGTTGTAGATATTGGTTTAGGTTTCGATTTATATCGATTTAATATCTTCTATGCTGTACATTATTATATACAAGATATAATATTACAAGAATCGCTACAAATAGTAATAAATGATACAATAAAAATATTTAAAAATAAAAATTATAAATATCCAGCACAGGTTGTGTAGTACATACTAAGTAATTTTAACATAGTTAATGTAGTTATGTGAAATAATGTAGGAACATATTAAATAATATAATGATAATTATGTGAAAATAATGATTTTATGTTTATTAAGTTTATGTAATTATCCATTTCTGTAAAATAATATTTATACCTAATAATCTAATAAATGATAACACATATTATAAAATCAAGTTCCTATATTCTTCAACGGAATAATACGCATTATCCAACAAAAGGTCTTTCTAAATTATTTACTTAATAAATTATTTGAAAGTTACAAAAGTTATAATTGGACGTAGTTATAATAAAAAGATCCAAGTAACACTTAGGGCGAAAATGAGTTAAGTATACCACGTAATTCACCGTAGCCTATTCATTCATGCCAGAAAGACTCATGTATCTCTAATATTGGCGAAATTATAAGTATGTAGCATTTTGAAAAAACGCAATTTTCCCAAAAATATTTTTAATGAACGATCCAGGTATCCTGGACTCTCGTTCCACAACACATCGCATGATCCACTTGAGTATGAATCGCTCTTAAAAAATGCTAAACTATGAAATATGATGGCCAATAAGATTCAAGTAAACTTGAATCATTTTCTTTTTTTTTTGTTTCTTTTTTAACAAAAATTCACCAATATAACTTGTATAGTGTTGGCTTTTTAAAATCTTGAAACAATGGGATCCAAAGTAACTTGGATCGTTTTGATTATTTTTTTAATAGGGACAGAATGTTCCACTTACGTTTGACATAATGACTTGGATCATATTGGCTATTTTTTACGGCAAAATTAAACTATCCATTCGATTTTGGATCATTCCTACTAAACGTTGGTTACTTAAAAAATGTAGGATTTCAAAATAGCCTTTAAAATTTTAAAAGTCACCTTCCAAATTAGAACGGCCCGACGTCATTTGGTATTAAATTTAACATGACCAGCCCCCGTTGCATGCCTCCGCGATGAAGCTGTTACACCCACATTTAGCTGTCTATTCGAGTAATAAAACCGCCATTTTGAAATTTTATTGTAATAACGCACGTGTCAAGCAATGTGACGTCACATTTTTGATGCACCGCGTGCACATGTTTTCTTTACTCATGTGCCGAGTGTGCCGCGACCAATGACCGCGAAAGTATATCGCAATGCCAAACATGGCCATGACAAGATCTGAGCTTAAAACATTATGACAGGTTTGCACGGTAATTTTATCAACGTAAAATTTGAGCGCCACAAACGAAATAAACTGAAATAATAAACAAAAACAGTTCGTTACATATTCACTATTGGAAAAACGTGAGGAGAAATCGACTGCGATAAATATGTCACGGGGAGGTCGCATGCGATATACCGCCATGCTACGCATGATGTATTTACATAACTATGGATAGTTTAAAGTCACTATGGCCAGGCGATAACTGAGGCTAACCTCAATGACATCATGCATAGCATGGCGGTATATCGTAAGCGATAATGATACACCTCCCCGCGACATATTTATTGCAGGTTATTTGTCCTCGTCTTTTCCAATATTCACTTGGTTTCTAATGACACAAGTTATTGTATGTATGAGTAGAAGGTGACGCAGGTAGAGAAAGTTGGCTGTTCTGTATTATGCCATATTAATAACGAATTGGCGGTGGACATGGAAGACCTTATACTATGGAGTGATTCACGAGGAGGTCAAAATAGGAACATTAAATTGGTATTGATGCTAAAAGTGGCTCTGGACACCGACCTTAAAAACTATTCGCTGTCGCTATTTGGAACCTGGGCATAAATTTTTGCCCAATGATACAGAATTTTGAAAGATTGAAGTAGCCTTGAAACACGTCTGACGTCTTTACATAATCGAAGAATTATGGATATTATGAAGACGTGTACAAAAGCAAACCCATTAAAAGTAATGCGATCATTCGCATCACCAGAGTTCTTGGGAACTGTAGGTACAAATAGGAAAGGGTATAATGAATCGAAAAGTGTTCGAAAATAAAGATTCTGGTTGATGTGGATGAAATTGTATTAATAATTTAACGATATCTTATCATTAAAACCCAAATTAATAAAGCATAATAAAACAAGAATTTAAAAAAGTGTCGAAAAAACATTAATTGCGGTGGTGAATGTCGGAAAATCTCTTGAGATTTTAGGATAAATAAATAAGTCAAGTTTTTTTTAACAAAATAATTATTGAAGCAACTAGTCTTCGATTTAGTGAGAAAAAAATAAAGAAAAATAATTTTTAAATATATTTAAATGCGTCCGAATAATGTCAAAAAATTGCATTTTTCGCGAAAAATCTAAGTTAAGTATGCAATTTTTATTACTGTAGAAAATGCTAAAGTTATGTTGGAATGTAGTGTTATTATAGTTCAAAACATAGGACAATTTACCGAGATTCCTTAAAATTCTTAAAAATGCAATTATATTCATTTGATGAAAATAAAACAATTAATTATACACTTTTTGCACATTTTGGATCATTTTTTCAAATTAAAAAATTATCGCAAAAGCTTTTTTGCCATACAAAATTAAAATGATTTAAGTCCTATTTTTTTAAAAGAAGCTACCTTAATTGTTAATTTACGAAATGTTTGGTAATTGATGTGAAACTATACAGTGAAAACTTGAATTTGACGAAAAAAAATGAAGATCGGTTGAGAATTCAAGCAGCAGTTAAAATTTTAAGCTTTCGAAAACTTTTAACTTCCATTTTCTCGAAACTTAAATTGTGACTTAGATCTTTTTGTTATAACTACGTCCAATTGCCTCGTATCAAACACAGGCCTAATTTTACAACACTGCTATATAAGTGGGGTAGTGGGGATTTACCTGAAGAGGCGCGTCCCGTTATAAGCGTAACCGTTCCCATCACCACGGACGAGTTGCATGAACAGTTTGCAAGTCTGTGGCACGATATCATTGAACAGTTCTATGATCACTTGTCCAATTTTCGAACCGCCTTCGACCCCAATTGTCATGTATACACTGGCCAACAGACAGAACGATAAATGTTAACTTAATCGGAATTTAAACCATGTTTATTTTTTTGCTCAGATATCCAACATATCGACATTGTTGGGTGCATCATGGTCACGACAGGCTAGACCGGAACTCTTAAAAATGATGTACACAGGCTTATACAGGGTGACAGGTTGAACGAGATAAATATTTAAAGAGGCTAATGAGTAGCTGATACCGATACGGAATATGTAAAAAGAAACACTACCTTATTTTTGAATATTTTTCTCTAATGAAAATACTGCCTCTAACATTTTGTAATACTCTGCGCAAGATCGAACATGCAGCGAGTGCCCGCTACCCTTACAGCCTCTGCGCACGCTTTCTATGCTGCGTCTATGTAGGAGATAATGAAAGGAGGTATGCGCAGCGCAGTTGCGCAACCAAACAGGTTGTTGCCTGTTCGAACGAACGTCTATATCGTTCGCATCGACGCGACACTTCACAAAATTATACTAGATTTTAATGATTTACTGTTATTTACATGTAATCAGTATTTCACAAGTGTATGTAGTTGTATATGTACACTTCTTATTATGTCGGTTTTCTTACCTGTTGGTTTATTTTCTGTTCATTTATTTAGTGTTGTCAGTGGCTCACTCGCCCCGGGCTTGCTCACAATCAGCGCCACGAAACGGTTAAAAAAAGCCAAAAAAAGCCTGTCTGTCTTTTAGTACTCTTTAAGTAGGAAGGCTTGGCACGCGGGTGTTCAATATCCTACTGCTCAGCTGTTCTGTTTTATAGAGTAGCCCAAATGAAGAGTGTGTTAGTATTTGTAGAAAGGCACGGCATTATTTTTTCTTACGTTTAGGGGCGATTCTTTTTATATATTCGGATTAGATATGAGCTACTCGTTTGCCTCTTTAAATATTTATCTCGTGCAACCTGTCGCCCTGTATAGGGATTTCAAGTTGAGTAGCAATAATTCGGTAATGAGAATATTTATTGTTGCTCATAAGCGTCACACTAGCGCCACATGTAGATTCGGAACCATCATGAATCGAATTTGTTGAGAGAGTGTTGCAGTCTTGCACTTAATAAAACAACTCGCTCAACAGATGGAGTTTTTTTCAATTTTATACATTGGTCATGTTTCATACTAAGTTTAAAGATTGAAGGAGATCAATGCTGAGACGGGAAGAACGGCCTTTTTTCCATTCTCTAAGGAACGGCCAGACAGACATGACTATTATAGGAGATATTATTAGGGTTCTTCTAGTTTGGCTAGGATCCCTAAAAAGATTATATACTATAAGACTAAGTAATAATACAAAAAAATATGCCAAAAAATCAACAAAAGATATATTGCAACGTTACAAAAAATGCGCACTCTATTATGTATTTTTGTGATCTTCTAAATAGACCGTCATAGTCATCAGCATCATCACTGAAATCCGACTTAAGCGTTCAATAAAACAAATACACTGCGTAAATTCCGTGGATACGGGGAAATCGGAATTTGTCGATAGAATTGGTGTTATGTGGTTGACGACCACAATTTTTTTTATTACTGGCATTATAATACATATCTTTGCATTTCATCTACTTACCGTGGTCGATAAATATGAAACGGCTTTTCAAATGCGGGGTCTTTCATGCCTTTGTCAATGGTTCCCGTCTTGAACAATATAAAGGGCAGACTGAAAAGATATTAATTAATGTAGTAGCATTGTGTAAACCTCATCATCATCATATCAGCCGAAAGACGTTTGCTGAACATAGGCCTCCCCCAAAGATTTCCAGACGCTGGTCGGACGCAACTTGCATCTATCGTTGGTTACCCGTCGCCGTTACCAGGTCATCCGTCCATCTAGTAGGGGGTCGTCCCACTGAACGCCTTCCTGTTCGTGGTCTCCATTCGAAAACCTTTCTGCCCCAACGGCCGCCAGTGCTACGAGTTACGTATGCCCACTGCCACTACAATTTGCAATTTTTTGAGCTACGACTTTGGTTTTTCTACGGATTTCCTAATTTTTTGATTGTATCACGTAGAGAAATGCCGAGCATTGCTCGCTAAGCTCGTTGAGTGTCTTTGAGCTTTTTTATGAAGCTTTTATGATTTTTTAGGAGATGAGTGACCACGTCTCAGAGCCGTAGGTCATCGCTGGCAACATGCACTGCTCGAAGACTTTTGTCTTTTTGTCTTCAAGGTAAATTGAAAATGAGTGTAAATCTATGTCACACCAATGTACCAGTAAGTAAATTTATGTAAATCCGACAATCCGCTTTAAAGTCACTTTGAGCGTATACAAACGTATTTCTTCTGTATGTTATACAGACATAAAGAGATTTAAATTGAAACAATAACTCTTTAAGAACATAATAAACATGTACCAAACAAATCTTGGCATAAAATCGAAAAGCAACTTACGCAGCTCCAAGTATGAGCTTTTGCTTAGTATCCTTCCACAACTCATTAAGTTCCTTTGTAGTTGGCTGTTCTGATTTCTGTAAAACAAATAATTTAAAAAATTGCGCGACTTGTAAACAAACACACGACACAATAGCATCCTACCATAATTCTAACTTGTAAGGTGGCGATTCAAAGTGGACTTTTTTTACTTGGGGCGCACTATAAGTTTCCGGAATGAATAAGAAAAAATACTGTAAATGGTCAGAAATGAATTTATTGTTTCTCAAAATATTCTCCGTTAGCGTTAATGCACTTTTTCATACGAATGAACCCATTTTGAAAACATTTATGCCATTCCTCCGTGACAATCTACGAAACATATTTTTCATACTCTTCGACAGCCCCTTCAGGTGATGAAAATCGTTGACCGCGTAACTGGTTCTTCATTTTTAAATTTTTTAATAAAAGTCACAAGGGACCAGGTTGGAACTGTACGCGGGATGGCTCATAAGGTCAACGTTGTTCACCTTAAAATATTCATTTGTCTGTCTGGCCGTGTGAGCACTGGCATTATCGTGGTGCAATATGATATGGCGTTTCCGGTTATTTTTACATAGTTTTTCAATAACTTCCGGCAAACAAATGATCGTGTACCAATCACTATTCACGGTACAACGATTCTCCAAAGCAACAATAGCCACGTGTCCAGTTTTATTAAAAAAAGAAGCAATCATCCTTAGCTTAGAGGAACTTTGCACGCGCGCCACTGGTTGGTTTCGGCTCATCTCGAAAGACCCATACGCTCGATTGCTGCTTTGTTTTGAGATCGTAACTATAAATCCGTGTTTCGTCACCCGTTACTATGTCCCACACCAAATTTGACGCCCCTTCGTTGAATATGGTAAGCATAGCTTTGCACCAAGTGACGCGATTCGTTTTTTGAGCCTCAGTCAAACTGTGTGGGATCCACCGAGAGCAAAGCTCTTTCACACCCAAATGTTTGTGTAGTATTAATTGTATTTGACTCATGCCTAAAGATCCCTGAATCTCATGGTATATCACATGCCTGCCTGTTTTGATCATACGGCGCACAGCATGGATGTTTTTGTTGTTCACTGTAGCGGCCAGGCGACCATCACGAAATTCGTCACTGAGATTCACACGACCGCGTTTGAAGTCTGATAATCAACTATAAATAGTCGTCTTGCATGGTGCTTCATCGCCAAAAGCAGTTTGAAGCCGGGCGAAGCTCCGCTGAGGCAAAAGAGCTATGGAAATTCAAAATTTAAATTTAAATACGAGTGCCCAGGGACCGGAGAAGGCGATAAAAAGGTGGGATGACGATGTAAGGAGGTCACACCGTCACAAAGCAGTTTGAAGCCGAGCGAAGCTCCGCTGAGCTGTTGAATTACACTTAAAGTCGTAGAAAATCATACTACGAAAATTTTCACGAGTTAAATCCATGGTGATGTAGACAACCAATTTCTAAGATGACGTCACAATGTAAAAACAAGTGACAGTCAAATGAAACAAACTCTATTCTACAGTCAAAGAGTTCCATTTTCAAATGTTGTAATTACTTTTTAAATATTGTAAGTGGCCAATTCCGGAAACTTATAGTGCGCCCTATGTATGGTACTAACAAACGGAACTAACAAGTCATGAGTCTGGTGGTAATACAAAACAGTTGCAGTGCTACTCAGAGCTTTAAACAATATACTACTACTGCGCCCGTCACACTTAGTCATAGCCGACAAGTTACATGTGCAAAAACTAAATTAATTACATTCTTTTAGTAGCACAACTCTATCGTGCCTGAATTACCTATAAAAAACTTTGAAAAGAAGCAATGAAGTAAAAGTACTTACAGCCTTGAGCATTCTCGTATATAAGTAAATATTTGCATAGTGGATTTCGTCAAGCTGCCTCTGTCGGTACCGTCGCAGTAACTTGTCATGCTCAATGGTACCTGTTTTTTTAAACCAGCAATCCACCATACCCTGCGATCGGAGTCATGTGAGTTGTAAAAAATACGTTATTGAGTTAAATCCGTTCTTGCACACGAAACAAATATTTCAGAAATAAACGGAATAAAGGAGGTATAAAAATAAAATCATAAGAACTTTTTAGGCTAATTTTTCAATACTTTGGTATCGTACATTCATTAAAAACGCGTACCCCAGTTATTTGTATGAGGTTGATTTTCTTGATAAGATCTTTGTTGACGTTCATGTTCTCTTCCAGTTTACGCGAATAGAAGTCTAGACGCCGTGGTTTCAGGTACAACTCCGGGAACAAAGCCGGAGGATTTGCGTCTACTTTATGACGCATCATTTGCAACTGAAACGTCCATGTTGTGAATTAGAATTGGGCAGGGCATCATTCCTCTGTATAGGTAGGGTAGACCGGAGGCAAAAGTAACAGGGGGCAATTGAAACACTGGCCGAAAACCTGTCAATCGTTTTTACGCGTGTATGCTTGTACCTATTCCTCAGACAAATTCCATCTTGTATTTAGTCAGGCGCCGGCAGCGCGTGGGGCAATTGACTGTTATAGGTCGTTTTGTACTTCCGTGTCTTCAAAGTAAGAATATATTGATTTTTAAACACAAATTATTGGATTTTTAACGATAAATTTACATGTGTAAGATGATAACTAGGTTTCTAAAAGATCAAAGATTGTGGTAATATTACTGTGTGTATGTAGGTACATATTTTACAGTAGTTTTAAAGATAACGAATATTCTTCTCTATTACGTCCACTGGTGCAGTTGTAACCCATATTCCGCAGGCAATTGTGACGTTACAATTGACCCACTGTTACAATTGACCCTGTGAGCATTTTTTAAATAATATTGTTTATATTTCAATATTATGTTCTGGGGGTAATGGTAACAGAGGGGGCAGTTGTCGCAAACAACATCTCATTCAAACTAAAAACTATTTTCGGGTACAAAATTTTGCATTTAGGGTAATTGTGTTTAGATTAGGTATATTAATAAAGTTTTTCTGAGTAAATTTCAAATTCCTGGCCATAAAAAGCATTGCCATTAAAATTAAGACTACTATTTTTGTTTATTTTCACATATTTTTAATTGTCAGTATATA